GTGTAGTTTTGAAACACAAAGAACTAGAAAAGCTGTTAGAGCGACAGAAGCCTTATCGCTTAGCGTGCCGGTGATATCCGTGTATGTCAGTTTGCTTCGATGTTTCATGTCCCAAATCAACCCTGCAACTAATTAATTAATTTTTTTTTTTTTTGATTAGAACAAATGATTTGGAACTCGAACGATTTGAAATTCGATCGCTGCTTCGGAACGGATTGTGTTCGAATTCCGAGATTCCACTGTAATAATTTATTTGAAATATTATGATATGTATTTTTAAAACTTGAAGATAGAAAATACCTGCATGGCTGGTTAAGGGGCGATAGAAATTTGCTGCCTAATCAAAATGGGAGAAGGGTGTTGAACTCCCCCCCCCCCCCCCCCCCCCCCCCCCTCTTTCCCCATTGCTTTTTTTTTTTTAAATTGTTGTGAGTGGGTGCTCCAAGTACCTAGCCAACTTGAGTTCTGGCGCCCATGCTTGCTCGGTACTTTTGTTAGGCGATGCCCAGCAGACAGGTTTGAAACTTGGCTCCTCGTTAACAAGTACTAGGGTCTGTGCTACCATGTTGGAGCAGCTTGTTCACTGGAGTTAAGGGATGTGGTCGGTTACAGTTAGCTGATCCTCGCTCAAACCCAAACAAATCAGTAAGCTTACACATTCTCGTTCACACACATGAATACATAATAGACACACACATAACCGTTTGTTAGTCGTTTCATCCGCTCGGCTTTAGACAACAATAATTGAGAGATCAGTTATTTAATAAAAACTGGATGTAGGCAGAAGCAAGGTTCACAAAAACGAAACGAGAACAACACACAATAACAACACATCACCCCCACCAATATCAACACGATGCTTGTCTAGACTGTAAACCCCCCCCCCCCCCACATCAGCCGATTGAAGTCACGTGATACAAGTAAACTGATAAAACATCTCTTGTCGCCGATATTTGAGTGTCAGTAGATTTTCCCCATCCTCGTTCGGCATCTCTGCAACCTGAGTTTTCTTTTATTTCTCAGGTATGTGGTGTTTATCGGAGTTATATATTGATGCTGATTGTAGTTTTGAAATGCATTTTAACGGTGTCTGCAAAGTAAAGCTTGAAGGTTATTTTAAAAGTATGTAGCAAGTGTTTATAGAGTGGATCCCAGGTTAGTTGCGTATCCTTTACAGGACGTTGCAGAACCAACCCCTGTGTGGTTTTTCTATGCAAATTTACGTCCAATAGTTTTGCCATTGCTTTCTTTATAGGGTAGATACATAAGTTTAAAGATCCAGTACCACCAGCCTTTATTTGGAGATTGCACCTGACTAGCTGATTACAGGGGCGAGTTTATCTTTGAGGACTAAGATTTCAGATTTCTCTTCCTGTTTTATTCAGTCGAAAGTTTCGATTCTGTCTGTGAGCCTTTTCCCAGTTTCCCCATCATCTATCCCGGGGATTAAGCCTCCTAGGTATATAATGTGTTTGATTTTTGACGCGTGGTATATTATTGTTAATTTGTTAAATGGTGGTTTTGTTTTACTTCAAACAGGAGAGGAAATCATCAATGCTATCTTTATTTTCATTCACTTTACATAGTTGTCTGCTGTGTGCAGCTTTCATACGTTGCCGCGTTGCGTTAGTTGTCGTGTCTATCTACAATCTTCTGTGTCGTCTTAGTTTACGTCATTTCTGATACAGGGGATCTCTCATGCCATGATGACAAACTGTCCAGCATCTTCTCTTTTAGCCTTTCTCTCCTTCTTTTCGCCCTCTAAATTTCCCACCATCACGATGTACTCTGATTTCTTTCTGCCCTCAATGTAACCTATTTCTTCCTTTCTCATTTATAGGAATGACGTATACACACCGGAACCTACCAGTCCAATACCTTTTTTTAATATTTGTGTATTCTACACAAAGCATTAAGGTCTACTGTGTTCATAAATTGTTGCTGTGATTGTTATTCGACATATGCTTCGTTAATATAAATTTCTGTAACCTATGGCGCCATTTCAACGGTTTGAAATGAATTCTGTCCGTATTCCATAGTCGTGGATTTCAAGCTGTACGATAGACATGGCCAATAAGACACCTTTTTTATTGGGGGGGGGGAAGGGTGGGGTGCCTAGTTGACCATGTTCTTAGTGCACATGTATGCATGGCGAGGCGCACACGCCGTCTGGAGGTGACAGGTTCAATTCCTAGCACGGTAACGCTAGCTTTCGATTTTTATGTTGTCTAGTGTGTTCTTCTATCTTTGTACTTCTTTCTCTGAGTGCTAATCAATACATTTTCTGTTACTTGAATAATCTATATATTTCTCCACACCTGGAACACTCGCAGCGTCAGGGAGGACAGAAGTCCACGGAACGGACCCTTCTGTTCAAGCTCATTTCTTTATTTGTTGTCCACCTGTTTACGCAGTCTACATATATTTCCCTATTACGTCCTTTGTCTCTCTTTCTATCCCCCCCCCCCCCGCACCTCAAATCATCCATCAGCAGGATCTTTACAGAACGTCGCTCTCATGACGGCATGCCTGAAAGTCTGAATATAGCCAATTCGCCATTCCTGTGAGTTTTCATAACAAAAGGTTTCTTCAATATCTGGTATCAATCTTCGCCGATGTCGCTCTCTTAACGCCCGCCTGAAAGTATCTCTGTCTATTGAAAATTCTCTAGTTCTGTTTTCATAATCAAAGGCTTCTTCAGTGTCTGGTATCAATCTTCGCCCGAGGTCGACCTCTGCATCTTCTTGCGGAAACTGTACCCTCCATCATCAGTTTTCTTTAGGCCACCTTACCATTTACATGGTAACAATACCTCTTGTAGGCCAGACCTCGATATTCAATCACGTAACGAAAGATGTTCGCCCACAGGCTGGTTGAGAATGACATGTGGAGGGAGATACGGTGTTATGTGTAGGGAGATACGGTGTTATGTGGAGGGAGATCCGGTGTCATGTGGAGGGAGATACGGTGTTATGTGTAGGGTTGCATGCGTGTCTTTTCAAGTCCCATTCCCTGCTGTGTTGGTATATGCCATTTAGGCATGGGCAATGAGACGAGAAGCTGAAAAACATCTATTCGCAGTGATGTGATTTTTATGAACAATGCGACGCAGATCATGGAATGATGGGAAAAGATACGAGGCAAGTCCTCATTGAGACAAACGACAGATATTTAAGGAAACAAGACGTTGACAGTCTGTATTTTAAAAGAATGAATTGACTCGAGAACTTGGTAACAACTTGGAAAGACTGATGGAAAAATAGCACGGTATAGTAAAACAAAGCACAATACCCAAATTTCTGTTATGTGCCATATGGGGGATAATCTGCAGATGGGTGTATCAGACGCGGGACAGCTTGCTTGTGATCCAGAAGTGTTCAGGCGGGTTGTTGTAGGAGCAAGGTTATGCAAAGTACATGCTACTGACTGACTGACAGGGTGAGACAAGGACATCGACCTGGTCCGGGATTTTGGTGATCGTTGGAAATTGTGAAAAACTGACCGCCTACACTTATCGAAATTACATATGATAAGGGACTGCGTGGTCTCGAGGCATTGTGTCCGCCTCGAGTGCTTGAGGATCCGGGTTCAATCCCCAGTAAGTGCTGGATTTTGTCACGTGGACTTGGACTTCTAGTAAATCCCCCTGCTCTCAAGGTAGTGAGATCGGACGCCCGTGTGCATTGTTGCTCACGTAAAAAATCCCTTGGCAGTTGGAAATCGAAAATAGTAGCCTAACGGCGCTGCCCGGACAAAATTTGGGGTTAAAAATCTACCCAAAGTATTTCAGGATCCAGGCCGGTGCTACAGAGCCTGTGCACTGCGCTAAGCTTCTTCGGACTCAGACTTGAGTTAGAAGAAGTGTGTGCCATGATGTTGATCCGTTGTTCAAAGCCTCAGACTACACATGATGATGATGATAATGATCTCCTGCCAAAGAGGAACATGCTATCTCTAAAAAAGGATAACTAGAAGACATGCCAGGATTCGAACATGCTATCTCTAAAAAAAACGATAACTAAAAGACACGTCAGGATTCATTCATAACTCTAAAACACAGCAGTGTTTAGCTAATGGAGCCAATGAAATTCCTATTTGCGCTTTCCGCTCAAGTCAACCCTTCTTATGGACAAATTTTTTGTGCCGACCTATGTACTCTGTCGGGTCACATTTTCTGTCATACATTTCTACTGAATCTCCTGTTCTGACTCGAACTGGCACCAGACCGCTTGCTCGTGTGCTCGGTTAACCCGTGCTTTAGTTGACTCACCAAGTGCAGCCAGGAACAAGTGTGCAAGTTGCGTTTACGACAGGCTGAAGTCTGGGGCACCGCAACCTGGTAACAGGCACCTTGGGAAACTTTGAAACATTGGCGGAGGGTGGGGCATCAGCTACCCCACCTGAAAACACACACACACACACACACACACACACACTCTCTCTCTCTCTCTCTCTCTCTCTCTCTCTCTCTCTCTCTCTCTCTCTCTCTCTCTCTCTCTCTCTCTCTGCGCTGCTTAAGTTACCCTTTCCCCTCCAGGTTGCAGCACTCCCTAGGGGTGGTTGTTTTTTTTCTTTGATCATGCATACACATTACATTCACTCATGAACCTTATACGAAGGTCCATTGGGCTCTTAGATGAGTTAGGTGCCACCATGGTATAGACGCTCGCCTGAGGAATAGAAGTTCGTGGGTTCAAATCCGAAAGAAGCCGCCTCCCCCCCCCCCTCCCTTAATAGGACCATAGCTACCAAGTCGACCCAACCTTAAATGGGTACCAGGTAAAATCTTAGAAAGTAAAGGCGGTGGGCTTGATGTTGACCACATCACCAACCGAGGACTGGTTGGTCTATTAAATATAGTTCTAGCCCTTCATGCTCAGAAAGGGCGCGAAAAGGGACCAGTTTTTATTAGATGAGTTACCGTGACAGCTAACTGTCCGTGACAAGTAATATATATATATAATACTCTTCTCCTGTTTCAGCTCTAAAGGAAAGGGACCATGGCATACGGCTACAGTCATGCATCCTGGTCACAAGCGTATCTAGAAGACGTGTCTAATTCAACGTTTAAACAGATAGAGAAAATGATTCACTCCACATTTGATCCATGTCGTGTCGGTCGCGGACGAGACGCTGAAGATCTGGACCATTGCGATATATCCGTCAATGACATACAGAGAGTGAAGAATCGAAAGATATTCCGCGAATACTGTGACTTCCGAGACGAGCTCAAAGAGAAAACTTGTGACGGGGATAATGTTGAGGAAATTGAGGACTTTCCTCAAAAAGTGTGGAGCTTTAAAAAGTCAAGAAGACATGTGGATCTTAACGAAATATATTTATTCCATGGGACATCGGAAGACTCTGCCAACATGATTATCAATGAGGGGTTTGACACAGGCATCACTAATCCCAGAAATTTGTATGGAAGGGGCATTTATTTTGCTGAGGAGTTTACAAAAGCTGACCAATACACGGGTATGTATGTTACCACTACTACAAACACTACGACTACTACTTCCGCTCTTCCTTCTGCTGCTACTTATTCTGTTGCTTCGTCTTCTATCATCTCTTCCTCCTCATTGTCATTATATTTTTCTTCTTATTCTCTGATTTTTCTGCTTTTTCTTTTTTTTCTCTCTCTCTCTTCTTCTTTTTCTTCTTCTTCTTCTTCTTCTTCTTCTTCTTCTTCTTCTTCTTCTTCTTCTTCTTCTTCTTCTTCTTTTTTTTTTTTTTTTTTTTATGCTGCTGCTATTGCTCTGTCCTCTTCTTCTTTGTATCATCTTTGCCATTATCATCTTTATCTTTAATTTATCATGAACTGCCTAACAAGTTTGTTTAAGCAATATTGCTTTGTCAAATCTTACGACCCTACATATGCATTATAATATATCGACATAATGCCATAATTAAATATTTTTTCAATAAAGTTTTCGATAAATACCTTTGTCGGTAAAGTTGTAGACAATTACTTCAGCTGATACGGTTGTAGTCCCCTGAAGGTTATGGGGCTTCATTTGGAGTGAAATTGTAGAGAATACGCCTCCTGCTTCTTATCAAACCTGTCCTAAAAGGCGACTAAATAGGGCTCTCCTAGAATCTGTTTTGTTGAGCAGAAAAGCCAAGATATCACATCTTTGCTGTAAACAACAACATGTCAACTGCCTGTTGTGAAGCGCGAACTCAGAAGAAGAAAGTTGTAAAGGTTACAATAGATGCTAGTCTTGAAGTTAAAGATATCTGCCTATTTATATAAGATTGTAGATATTACCTCCTTCAAAAAAGATCATCACCACCTTTGATAAGCCTGTAGATGATTGCTTGTTGCAGACGACAGAGATGACCGTGACCCCCACGGAACAGAACTGACCCTGCTCCTGTGCAAGGTTCTGATGGGCAACGCCTTCATGTGTGGCAAGTATGGTAAGCCGGGTTTCTGTTATCATCATCGTGTCTGGGGCACTGGCGCCGCCACAGAGAATTCATATGGGTCCCATTTGTAGTTGATTTTTTTTTTGGGGGGGGGGGGTGGTGGCCAGCGAGCATACATCTTGTTCAAGTGTGCAATAAGTATTAGTAATATTCGCATTTTAGGCTGTCATATAAGCAAAATAAAATGTTTGAAATAATTTAATAATTAAAGAATCTACATAGCACACCAGGCATACCCACAGATGCTCCGTCTCCGTCTTAAGGTGTAGATGCTGTTTTTGTAGTATAGTGATTATACATACGTCGTTCTCGTCGTCTCATATGTCACTAAAGATTTATAAAATGTAAATCTTGATTTTTCTGGGTAAAGATTCGGATTAGACATCACAGTGTTCAGGGCAAGACCATATTAGCTCCGTCTCCCCCCCCCCCACCCCACCCCCCCCCCCCCCCCAAACAGCTAGCAAAGAGTCGCAAGACTGAGGTGCCATCTGGTTAACTACTCATCTTGTCTTTCCCCCTGAGTTGCGAGTTCCTTTATTATAAAACAAGCAGTCTCATCATTATGGTAACATTACCACTGTAAACTATATGTCCCCTCAGAGGCGCAGACTCAAGAGAAAACTTTGGGGGTGCTCATCCCGCTTTTAATTGTTCTGGGGTGGGGTTTCAAGGGACATGCGCTTTGTTTAACTCTACATAATAATGAAAATAGTCCTCTGAATCACACACAAAATAATATTTTTAAAACAGTATGAAATGTATAAACAATGGCTTGGAAAAAGAACGTTTTTGTATTTTGAGGGGGGAAAGGGGCGGGGGGGGGGGGGGTATGGACCTTGCTCTCTTACACATTGTTTTGATGGGCGGCCTATAAGTGTCTGAAAGTCCAGGTTCTGGCTCCCCTATATCCTTTCTTTTTAATTCATCTCGTGAAGATATCTTGTGAAGTCTGTTTTTTTTTTTTTTTTATGCTTTTATTTTATACGACCACATCTTGTCGACTTCGAGATTTCGTAGGGAATTCCTAGTGACCACTAAGGGTTTCCCCGGACAGTACTATATTATGGGTGGGGGTTAGGGTTAGGGCCAGTGTTACAGGAATAGCCACTACAACTAAGTCTAACTCTAACCCACCCCCTCCATACAATAAGATGTTCTGGGGATTTTCCTACCAAATCTCAAAGCTGACGAGAAGAGATCGTATAAAATTAAAGCACCCTGTTTGTGATCTCCTGCTATATGACATTCTCCTGATGCGTGTCATTTTGACTTCTGTTGTAAATTCAGACGCTGAGAAGTGGAAGCAACCACCGTGCATGAAATGCGACCGGAGCAAATGCCGACATGGCTGGAAGCACAGATACGATTCAGTCCTGGGTAGTGGACACGGCATGCTCTTTAGGGAGTTTGTTGTCTACGACGGGAGACAGGTCTTTCCTGAGTTCATTATCAAGTACGAGAGACTCGGAGGCTGGGTATGTTTGGTTGTGCAACGTCTTTATTTTGTGTGTATGTCACAGCGGGGTGTACATTTTAAAGAGGGAATAGAAGAAGAAGAGAAGATATAAAAGTAGAGAGAGACAGACGAGAAGAAAAAATAGTTAAAGGATGTATAAGAGGACAATAGGTTCTCCTGTGTGGAGAGTGTAGTAATGAGTCTAAACCCCAAACGATCAGGTAATAGTCAGTGGAGGTCTTATGAAGGAGAGAGTAGATATATCGCAAAGTGGTGGTGGTATAAAGACTACAGAGACTAACAATAATGGTACCACTCCTATACTCAACAAACTAACGATGGAATAAAAGAATAACAACTAACAATCATGTTTATTAAGAAACAGCATTACAAAGTCGTCTATCTCATGTTACACAACCGACAGATGTTATATTATGTTATAAACAGAACGTCCTCACACTATAAAACTCAGCAACTGACAGCAGAATCCACTCAACGATAAACTAGCAAATGACGCCTAGAATATCCTCCATTGCTCTACAAATAATAAGCCAAATAACAACTACAATCTAGCCATCTACTCTAATGCCAAATACCGACTACCATCTAGCCATACTGCTGATTGCAGTCTAGATACCATCTAACTATAGCCAACCCGTCACACCATGACAGAAACTGCCATGTCACATAACATGAAGCAATATTTCGTGCATTATCTGGCAAGTCACAAAACAGAAGTATGGACTTAGCTCCATCGTATCGACATCATCCGAATGCCCACAGTATCCTTCGTTGGCAGAGATCTCAGCGCAAGTGTCTCCCTGGCTACTCGCTGGTAGTGTATATCCCCTGACGCTACTTGGTTCTACCTCTCTCCTTTGTGCCTAAGTTCATGAACCTGTGTCTTCTTAGGTTCATGAACCTTTCTCTTTCTGGCCAAAGATGGTTTTCCAAGCCACTTTGCATAATTGAATGGAAAAACCCCAGGAAATCTTGTGTCGTTGCCTTTGTTCGTTGCCCTGCCTCTGTTAATTTACGAGTATATTGGCCTACAACAGTTCATGAACAAGCTTGGCATGCACCCACGTCTTTGTCGACTCTTGAGTCAATGCCCTCAGGGTTGTTAGACTATGTAGCGACTTTCTTTATCTCAAGCGACTCTATACCTCCTTATTCCTCCGTGTGTTTCTTTCCTTCTATTTTCTTCTTGTAATAAACGTGACTGTAATCAGTACTGTCACATGTACATGTCATGTTGTCTTCTTCTTCTTAGCGCTCTTTTGATGTTAACTCTGGCTGAAAGTTGTGGCCCTTCATTCACTTCTGGACTTTAGTCTTGTTTCAGAACTAGAATTTTGCATGCACATTCGTTTGACATGTGTGTTTTTTTTTATGCAGGCTGGTGGTTCCTTGCCAAAAGGCCACTCAGCTGGAAGTCAGTGCGCATAAGGTATTTCCATGCGTGCTGAGTCCTGTGATGGGGCAGCCAGTTCTGTGTGCCTCTACTGATTGTTCCCATGAACAGTGTCTGTACAGCTTGTGTGTAGGTGCTGGCGATATCCTTGGAGTCACTGAAATTGTATCACGGATAGATTTGTAAGCATTGAATAAAGCTCACCCCTAAAAAGAAGGACAAGAAGAAGAACTGAAGATCAGTGAGAAGGCTAGACAATATATAAATTGCAATTTAATGCTACAGTGATTGACGTCAGTGGCCCTTGAGCATCACCATTCGTGCTCAGTCCTCCGATGCACCAGCTATCCCTAGCTACATCTATTGACTCATCCTATGATAATTCGGTTACAGTGTCTGCTCTCCTGTCTTGATCTTGAAGGCGGCATAGGTATGCTTTGGCAAGTTTTACTCCCAGGCTGCTTAGTCGAGTTATCATTATGCACCAGCCTGCTCTATACAGAGCTGATTATACCACCTCTATCCATGCTTCTTCCCAATGGCACACGTGACTTACCTGCCAGCTGGTCTGCTCGGTCGTTTCCTTTTATGCTGGTAGATCCAAGTGAGGGGAAGAAACTACGACCTAATTCTGTCTACCCATTCATACTGGAAATTGCCAGTTGCTATTTTCTAATAACTAAAAGACACGCCAGGATTCGAACCTGATATATCTAAAAGACTATAACTAAAAGACACACCAGATTCGAACCTGCTATCTCTAAAAGATTATAACTAAAGGACACACCAGATTCGAACCTGATTTCTATAAAAGACTATAACTAAAAGACACACCAGATTCGAACCTGATTTCTATAAAAGACTATAACTAAAAGACACGCCAGGATTCGAACCTGATATCTCTAAAAGACTATAACTAAAAGACACGCCAGGATTCGAACCTGCTGTCTCTAAAAGACTTTAACTAAAAGACAGGCCAGGATTCGAATATGCTATCTCTAAGAGGCGATAACTAAAAGACAGGTCAGTTTCGAACCTGAAATCTCTAAAAGGCGATAGTGTTTAGCTAATGGAACCAATGAACAAACTCGCATGAAATCTAGACCCTTAAAAGTTTCTTTGCTATAGATCTGCCATCCACTAAAGACTATGGAAAATTTACCGAATCTTTCAACAGCTATTTGAATAGCAACATTTCTCAGAATGTTATGTCTTTACCCACCAGCCCCTCTCCCATAGGACTGCAGGTTACACCTGACTGGTGTAGCCGTTACAGGTTGGGCTGTACCGAATATTCGCGTCGTATTCGCTTCGGGGCCGAATAGTGGACCTAACTATTTGGTATTCGGCCGAATATTTGCGGTCGGGTCGAATACGAATAGTGGTTACCTAACAAACGTTTTGCATACACTCTCATTAACACAGTAGTTGCTGTTGCCTAAGTCTATTGTAGCAGGGGCAACTGCGACCTGGTTGCGTGGTACAGTATCCAGTTTGAACATATGGCTGTGAATCCTGGACAATCGGTAGGCAAGTCAAACAATTTCCCGAGGCCTCAGAGATAGGGTTTTACGAAACAATGCTTAAAATACCATGGACAGCCGAAAAAAGCAACCAAAAGATTTTGAAAGAGGAAAGGGGGAGGGGGAGAGCCCGAAGACAACTAATCGCAGACATCAGAAGGAGACAGTCATTATTTTTCGGCCATGTTATGAGAAAAGGGAAAATGGAACAGGTGGTGACCACAGTTCTGTGGAAGGAGGGATAGAGAAAGATAACGAGAGAAGATTCTTGACAGTCTTGTTGCATGGCATGGAGGTGTGTCAGCACACGAACTAATACATGCTGCAGGAGATCGCAGATTGTGGCAAGGCCCACGCCAGTCGGCAAGGCACCTGATGATGATGATACACTATTCGTATTCGGCCGAAAAGTTGGTCCCGCTATTCGTATTCGGTCGAATAGTGAAAATCCGTATTCGGTAAAGCCCTACTTACAGGTGCCCTAATTATAAACTTTTTAGACGTTGAACGGGGAATTTGGGATCTGCCTTGTTGGTCTACCGACCATATTGAGATTGATGATGATACTGATGATGATGACGATGATGACAACGATTTTTTTTGACAACAACGACGATGGTGGTGATGATGACGACAGACTGGACTAACCCATATTTCTTTGAGGCACTGGTTATTTCAGATGTGCTGTTGTCAGGGATGTCCTATTAATCAAAACCTTTTGAGACTCCAGCTGTAAAAACCCTCGGTCCTTGAGAGGGCCTCATATAAAATGTCAACATAATTCATTCAGAATATCATGTTTATGATGCAACTTCGGTTTGCTGAATGATGTCTTTTTGTTTCTTGTAATGACAGGAGCCTCTTCATGAATATGAGTAAAAGATCCTTGACACGAAACCAAGAATACTCTGAATATGACACAAAAGTTGGAGTCTGTAGATCACCAGAGTTTATAGGTTATCAGAGTTTAAATGTGATCAGAGTTCACAGGTCACCAAGTATTTAAGTTAAGAGTTTTTGATCTGTTATTATCATTTACTTTTTTCAGTTTTGTATCTTCGTGTTATTAACTTGCATATTGAATAAACAAAATGGTACTTCAATTGTAATTCACCCCAACTAAAGGAAATCCGGGAGTTCCCAGGAAAATCCAAACATATCATGTGACAACAAAATCTTTTCTTTTGCGGTTTATTTATGTTTACTTTAAACAATGTGTGTTTTGATCAGTCTAAGCCTTAACCTAACCTTAACCCTAAACGCTAGCCCTAACCCGTGCTAATATGGATATCCTAATAATAGCTACCAGATGTGTTTGGGGTGAATTAAATTGAAGTACCAACAAACTAATGTGTTGTGATGTAAAATGCAAAACCATGTGTAGAGAATTGCACAGATAGTGCATGTTAATGCAATGTTTATTTACTTTTTCTTTTGCAACTGCTTGTTAAAGAAGAGGGTCATCCCCGCACCACCACCTCCCCCAAATTGGGAGCCTGGAGCCCTATGTGAAAAAGTTGACAGTATGCTATCTTTGCCTAGTGGCTAGAATAGGGAAGTCCATGACGACATAAAATCTTGTTCCGTTTTTGCTTCTCTGCCAAGAGAGCTTGGACTTTTAACAAAGTCACACTAGGCCCTGATATCCTTTGCTATCTCTGGCAACTGCCTCACTCACCCCCCCCCCCCCTCCTTTTCCCGTTACCCATCTCTGTCTCTCATACTCTTCTTTCACATGTTTGAGGTCACTGTTCCTTTTGCCCCATGGGTTCCAGTGGAAAAATATAATATGGAGTTATATTATTAACATACTAGTTATACTTTCTAGAACATTGTATGGTACCCATTTTAGACCTACGAGCCGAATTAAATTGTGACTTAACTCACCAGGAGACTGAGACATTTTTTAAAATTAGTATCCAAGAAAAAGCGACTAGAATCCCACACCAAATTTTCTCCTCAAGACTCAGTTCTCGCCTAGAGAGAGACGATCCAACGACAGACTACTTCGCCAACATGTGTTCAAATTTTTTATATAGTTAATACAGTGTGTTCCTGAAACTTAGCACCTGAAAATGTTGCGCACGTACTTAAAAACTGCCAACTGTAGGTTGCTAACAGAGAAGCCATCTGACCTCTCCTAACCTTAATCAAGACTAAGCTGTGCGGTTCACATGGAGATTTAAACTAATCTTTAACTTTTCTCAAAGCTACTGGTCTATGAATACCATAATATTATACAAGAAGAAACATTTAATGTGCATTGTTACGAGGGAAAGTCAATAAGTAAGTAACAAATGGTTATGGGATGGCAGGAGAATGTAGTTGGTGATTTCTAAAGGTGTCATTAAGTGACAGCAACATTGAACATTATATATCCATAAGTTTGGTGGCGCTAGGTGCTGCATGAGCATATGCAACACAGAAACAAAAATGGCGACTGTACTTACGGGGTGTACTCTCAAAGAACAACGTGCTTTTGTTTGGGGGTTTTTTTTTGGGTGGGTGGGGGGGGGGTGGGGGCAAAAGGGTTGCATAGAAAGGACATTCATAAGGAAATGCTTCCTGATTGTACTGACAAATGTTTATCACATAAAGCGGTATATAGCTGGGTAAAAAAAAATTTCTAACGAAAGCTCTAAAATTGTTGATGAAGTCCGATCTGGTCGTCATGTTGAGATTGCAAAAGAGACACATATGTGCAGCGGGTGGAAGGGTGGAAGAGATGGTTAGAGGGGACAGGTAAATAACGGTTGACTCTGTATCAACTGCAATAGGATGCTCACATGGTTCAGCATACAGCATAATGCATGATCGATTGAAATTTAAGAAAGTGTGCTCAATGTGGGTACTCAGACAATTGACGGACGAATACAAAAATGAACTGATTAGGCCTGTACTTGCAGTATCTCTGTCAATATGCAGATAAAGGAGAAGACAAGCTGAACAGGATCATTACTGGAGACGAATCAAGGAAAGGTTATACTGACAGTGTTCTGGGATTATCAAGGAATGTTCAACAAATTTTTTTTTAAAGAGGTGAAAATGTAAATGTTAATTCATACTGTAAAGTTTAATCGATGATTCATAATGCAGTTCAAATAAATCGCTCACGCCTGCTGACTAGAGGAGTACTTCTCCTTCATGACAATGCTTGACCACACACGGCTTACGAGTTAAGCTTTGGAACGTTCACCTTACAGCCCTGACTTAGCCCCTAGCGATTTCCACCTTTTTGGTCCACTGAAAACCCACCTTGGCGGGAGACATTTCACGAATGACACAAAAGTTGAATGTGAAGTGAAAATGTGGTTTAGAAAACAGAGCACGCAGTTCTATGCAGCAGGTTTCAGTGGACTGATAAAACGATAGGACACATGCATAAATGTTGGTGGAAGTTATGTTAAGAAAAAAAAAAGAACAGTGTATGGGTAAAAGTAAACGGTTTTCAAGTAGTTACCGTTTGTTTTTTTTTTAACAATCATTTGTGACTTACTTATTGACTTCTCCTTGTATTTGCTTACTCACCACACGCTCAGTGTTTTCTATTGGAATTAAACCAAATACACCAACAACACTTGACTTCTGTGCTGCCTCACCAATATGTGGGCAGCAGCAGTTGCTATTTCAGGAAGATACGAAAAGCAAGTGTACTGATCTAAACATGTTTCGAAACCTTAAATAAAGAAGAGATTTTAATGATGTTTACTGCTGTCGTGTCATTGTTACGGCATATGTGACAAGTGGTCTCAGCATCCAGTGTATCTGCATCCTCTTATTCTATCTATCAATTGTGTCTGTCTGTATATCTATCTGTCTGTCTAATCTGTATATCTTGTCTTCTATAATATCTCATCTATATTGTCTATTTTATCTAATCTGAGGGTTTCGTGTGGGTGTGTCAACATATCGTCACTGTTGGTGTAAGTAAAGGACCTTTTCCACTCCCTCAGGTGTACTGGGCATATACGTTTAGACCTATATTGTATAGACCAATCGGCACTAGGGGCAGGGGTGATGTAGTCAGCATCACACATGCCTCCTTTACTTCCCAGGGCTTTACCTGGTAACCACTCAAGGCTGGGTCGATCTGAGAGCCAAGGATAATTTTCTTTTTAAAGTCTGGGTCCATCAGGACCCGAACCGACGACCTCCCCATCCACAGGCGAGCATCTAGCCGCAACACCACTGGGCTGTCACTGTTGAAGGAGTGATATTAAAATAAGCTAAAGAGTTTAAGTACCTATGCAGTGTATCCACTGGGGATGGAGGATTAGACAGAGAAACAGAAAAAATACAGAAGGCCCAAACATAAATTATCAAGCTGCTCCACTTTTGAGGCATCAAAAGCATGCAAAAAAGCGGCCGATAATTCGCTATTTGTACCAACTTTGTGCTATTTTCACCAACTTTGTGCTATTTGTACCAACTTTGTGCTATTTGTACCAACTTTGTGCTATTTGTACCAACTTTGTGCTATTTGTACCAACGTTGTGCTATTTGTACCAACTTTGTGCTATTTGTACCAACTTTGTGTTATAAATGTCAGACATGGATTCTCCCAGAAAAACATAAACGCAAAATTGCAGCATTTGAGGTGAGATTAAAAAGAAATGCGGCGGGAGAAACAAGACGAGACCAATTCACCAACGAAGAACTAAAAGCAATGGTTGGCACAGTACCGGTAAATGATTACATAGAATGTCAAAGAATCAAATGGTTCGGTCATCTGGTCATAATAAAACAAAATTAGCTAGCGGTTAGAGCGTACTACATGAGAACAGCCGGCTACCGGTCAAGAGGCAGACCACGAAAGCTATGGATGAAGGGAGTAAAAGAGAATACCGAAACGCAGTATAAGATTAACACAGGCTACACAAGTAGCAAAAGCCCGAAAACTATATCATTACTTATCTCTGCGATGCTTTACGGCATAAGCAGTAGGACAAAATGTTCAACAGGGGCCGCGTTAGCGCAGTCGATAGGAGACTCGCTTTCAAATCCAGCTGCGACTCTCTGCAGCCCACGATCGGTGTTCGAAACCGGGTGGTTCCCGAGGTTCACCCAGCCTCTATTAAATGTGTACCAGAGCTGACACTCTAGGGGTAAATGGAGGAACGTCGCTGTAGCTACGGAGTTACGTGCGGACGGCGACACAGGCAGACAACTATTTATTAGCTGTCCGTACTGGTGGGAGAGCACCTATGGTTTATAACCGTGTGCAATGACGCTGGTTCACATCTCCCGACTTTACCTTTACCTTTACAAAAGACAGGAAACTACATCACCGCGTAAGCTAGAACCAAATGATGACTGTGAATCCGCAATCATGACCAGACTGCAAGAACAACATGTTAAAAGGTGTGTGGTGGAAAAAAAAGTACTATGTAGGAAGTCAAAGAAGTGTCAGAAACCAACACAGAACTGGTGTCGTTAGCCATTACACGCTGCGGGATTTACTAAGAAGGGGATCTGAGCACTTTGGACTGAATGGTTCGATGTGCAATGGGGATAATCTGTGCACTAACTATTTCTTATATTAATGCAAAGATTGTAACCCCTTGGCAGGAAGTTAAAGAGCTTTTTCCTAATAATCACATAAAATGAAGATGGTGGTGGTAGTTAGTGGCTGTGATGATAATAATGATGTTGATGACGACGACGATAACGTTGCTGCGAAATCTTTAGACTCAGGCCTCTTTTCACCCAAATTGCGGTGGGGGGGGGGGGGAGGGTGCTGAGGTGCTGAGGGGATCCCCCTCCCGGCCCCGGTTCCCCCTTCCCCAAAGTTTGCGAGGTTTGCAAAGCTGCAAAGCGGTCCCTCTAACCATGTACTGATCTTCTCATTTCATGTATTTGTGTACATATTTAGTATTATT